TGTCCTGGATAATAAAGAGAACAAGGAGCAAGAACTACTGATGAATGGTATCAGTACTCTTTATCTGCTTTGTAAATCTCCCCACTTGCGAACTAAAGGTAAAGATTAATTTGACTATTCTTTTTCTTCTTCTTTTTCTATGTGCCATCACCCTTCAGGACATAGGTGATCATGGCTTTCCTCAAATTCTGGCCCTTAGATGCCCTCAGCATTGCATGGTGACTGTCACATTCATTACTTAAGTCAGTGGTTCTCAAACTTTTTTTTCTCTGGGCCGCATTTCCAGAATGAAAATTTACTCGTTCTCACCAAAGGGAAGTCCCAGTGAAAAGATGCAAGCAGCCCTATGATAAAGATGGTTCAGATAAGGAAGATAACCACGGATTTAAAGTCAGAACATTGTTATTGATAACTCTCTCCTCCAATTTGCAGACCCTAGTTACTATATTCTTAATACTTGATACAAAGCAAAAATATCACAATGATAAAATCGGTCAATAATTATTTATATCTATTTATACTGGGACTCATGTATGTAATTCCAAGTAATCTATAATGATATTTTAAATTTTAAAATCATATTTATTTTTGGCATATGAATTTTTTAAAACTGTTTCTAAATCTTTGATTGTTTTTAATCATTCTGCCTCACCTGCTATCCTCTTCCAACACACCTATGAGGTGTGCCACATCATTTGGAAACCATTGACTTAAGTAATCACAAAACCATGTGTGTGTATGTGTGCATGCCTTTTAGGCAGCAAATGTTCTTTAAGGCAAATGTTATTAAAGACAACAGATGTTTTGTGTTGATGAAATTTATTGATCAACTTTTCCAAATTACAAATAATCCTTCTCAAATAAAGAGGAAACTCCATCAGAAATTGTTCAAAGTTCATTTCTGAAGAAATATAGTCTGATCTTTCGACTTTCTTAAGTCATCATCAAGGTCAGTAGAGATTATTAGTAGTATTTGTAACATTAATCAGCACAAAATATCTGTTGCTGTTGCTGTTGTCTTTAACATTTGTGTCAAACAATATCATATATATATATATATATATATATATACTACAGTTCAAAAGTTTGAAGCCAGTTCAGAATTATCCTGGGTTGAAATTGACAGAAGAGTGAAGAAAATAAAATGAAAAAGAGCTCTTAGAGTCATCGAAAAAAGAATGGAATCAATTATCAAACTTATACTTTGAGAAACTTTTTCAACTCAGGCCCAAAATTTGTGCTGCAGTAATCAAGTCTAAAGGAGGATATTTTGACGAGAGTAAAATTTAATCATAAAATCCTTTTTTTTTTCTTTTTGTCATAATAAAATTTCTAATAAAAAATCCTGTCCCAATTTCTTTTACCCATATATAATAATTTTCTCTTATTTAAAGCACAAAACTATATTTGGGGCCAATTTTTAAAAATTATGAGGGAGTAGCCACAAACTTTTGAACTGTATTTTGTGTGTGTGTGTGTGTGTGTGTAATAAATGTGTGTGCATGCATGTATATATATATATATATATAGTTGACCCAAATAAAAAATATATATATATATATATATATATATATATATATATATATATAGTTGACCCAAACAAAAAATTTAAATTATCTATAACAAAAACTCTAAAACAGTTGACCTTATCCTCAAAAATAACAACACGCCTGCAAAATCAAAACTACAAAGAACGAATGCCTCTTAATGTTCCTGATCAAACCAAACTCATAAATAATTACATTGGTCACACTACTACATGCCTATCCAGATGACTTACCTTATACCTATCCAACCACAGCTCCATTAGAACTCATTTAAGCACACACACAAACCTACCAGAATACTATCCAAAACATGCTAGTAGAAAATACAAGCATAATAGCCTCATCCACATGTAAAAAAAGATTAAAAATAATGAAAGTCCTAATAATAAAAAAGTAAAAACCAAGACGTAATAATATTAACTATGAACATGGCCACAATGTGTTGACTGTGTTCGGAAAATAAATCATCCCTATAACCCTAGATACATACACACAACTCATACATTCAGTTAATAAGTAAAAATAAAATCATTCTTGATAATGACTAAAAGTATAGGTAAAAGCGGTCAGAAATGCAGAATATTTGGAGCAGTGTTTATACACTTTGTGCCCAGAAAAGAAAACACTTGTATGAAAACAAAAAAAAAATTAAATAAAAAGCTTAATTGCAATACCTTGTCAGTCATCTTTAATTAAACTTAATTTAATTCATCTTTAATGAAACTTGTATAAAAGAGGTATGACTGCCTAAATACACAATATATATATATATATATATATGATTTAAAATACAGAGTGTCCCAACAAATTTGACATCATTTTAAAAGCAATTATCTTTGAAACTACTAAGTCTAGTTCAATGAAATTGAACAGTTTAAGTGTTGAACATCATAAGTTTATTATGGGACCCTTTTCATAAGTGTTCAATATCTGCACCGCCTGTGACACAGCACACGTCAAGTCGCTGGTTAAGCTCTTGCCAAATGCACTGTAGCATATCTCCATTAACATTATCCAATGCGGAAGTCCTTCTTTGCTTGAGTTCATCAATGCTAGCAGGAGGAGGAAGGACAAAGAGCAATCCCTTTACATATCCCCATAAGCAGAAATCACACGAGGACATGTCCGGTGATCATGGTGACCATTTCATCAGAAAACTGTCTTCATCCCCACCACACCCAATTCATCTATCTGGCAGATTCTCATTGAGATAAGCACGTAATGTCCTCTTCCATTAAATATAAAATCTTGATCCGTTTCTATACGTTCTGTGAAAATTTGAGGTTATTTCAACAAGAATCACCAAAATTATTGGTCTCCAAAATGATGTCAAATTTTTGGGGACACCCTGTATTTGAAACAATGACCTTTATGCTAATGTGGTTTCTCCCAAAATGGTTTCATGAGGCCCCACTCTTGTAACCTAGAAAAGGTTACTGAATGAGGAATAACCAAAACGGAGGATGGAAATGAAATGGTAATTTTTATAAACTTCAACAAAATACAATACTCACCAGTGGCATGAAGTAGGTAAACCACTGCTAGTGGTGGACTACTTAGACAGCATATTTTCCCCCACTTACAATAGTGTGTAACGCATTTATGAGGATTAGGGCAATTTAAAGTTATTGAAGCCTATTACAAAAATGAACGTTCAAACAGAAATGCATTTTTCACACTTCATGATTTTTTTAGTCAGCATAATCGATCAAGTGAGAGTGCAATTGGAAATGATGTAACGTTGTTGTGGAGAGGTTTAATTCCAGCGTGCGATGACGAATAGAGGGGTCTGGATTTTCAGCCACATTCTTGCGCACTGCAGCAATGTTTTCAGCTGAACGATGTAAACGAATATGTTTGTTTGAATTTATGAACAATTTTTCCAATTGCACTTTTGAAACTTTAACACATTGTTTGATTGTTAATCTTTCAATGGTTGAAATTGCCAAAGACTGAAGTTGTTAAATCTAAAAGAAAAAGAAAAAAAAAATATTAGACGCTTAAACTTAATTCACATTTAAAATCAGTCCAAGTTATTGTACACTTTGGCCTTCTTCAGGTGATTGGAATTTTGAACTGAACCCTTTATTTTGTCCACCCGGATATGTTGTTCTTGTTCCACATGCCATGCCTCTTCCAGAGGTCCCAGTTTTTTTTTCCCTTTAACTCAATTCTTTAAATTTTTGTTCACCTCTGCAATAGCCAGGTATTGAACTCGCAACTCTTTAGGTCAGTAGATCCAGCCCACACTTTTATCCACTGGGCCATGTGTTCTTGAGGCCAGAAATGTCATGTATATGGCAACAAAGATGAGGACAACAGTCTGAACAATGTAAATAGTGTAAATAATTACAATACCTCATCTCAGAAATATAGACAGATATTGCTCAACCTTGTTATGCTTGAGTAATATCTGTCTTCCGCATAAAAGTAAGTCTTCGTAACCAAATTTTTTTTTTCTTTTAGCTTGGTTGGTGGTCATGGGAAGGTAGTTAAATTTAGTATACACTGGGTCAGGGATTTCATTCATAGATTCTGTTGATTGCATCCTGTAACTGTTTGATGTTATCTTCCTTAGTGATTTATGACGGGGCGCTGACACCAGTCCTGAAACTCTGTACAATGGACGACACAATTGCTCTGGTGGCCATGAAAACGCTCAGCCTCATTGTAGAAGATGACCAGACGCACAGTATTATTGTGGATAATCACCGTATCAAAGCCTTATCTCACATCCTCAGTCTCTGCGGAAGAACCGAGCCTCAGGTAAAAAAAAGAATCTCAGACTTTATTAATTACTTGATTATGCTACAGGTATACTCTTTCTCTCCTTTGCTACCTTCTGTAGGAGGTTTTGTAATTTTCTTTCCGTGTCTGCTATCAGCACTGCGTCATCTGCGTATCTTATGTTGTTAATATTGTGGCCACCAATGATGAATCCTGGTAGGCTTTCCAGTTCTCTTAGAATTGCCTCACGGTTTGTTGTCAAAAGAGGTTTTCGATTATTCTAATGTCTGTCTATATTTCTGAGATGAGGTATTATGTACAGTATTTACATTATTCGGACTATTGTCCTCATCTTTATCGCCATATTTGTCACAACGTTTCGGCCGTTGTATGCTCCAGCCTTCTTCAGGTGGTTGGAATTTCGAACTGAACCCTTTATTTCAATCACTGGGTAGACTGTTCTAGTTCCACATGCCATGTTTGATGGATGTCAGTTATTAGTTATCTCCTCAAGGACATGGCACAGTGGATAAAGGCATTGGTTAGATCCAGTGACAGACCCAAAGAGTGTGAGTTCAATACCCGGTTAAGGCAGTGGAGAACTTTCAGAGGGAAAATTTGCCGAAACGTTGTGACACATATGGCGACAAAGATGAGGACAATAGTCCGACTAATGTAAATACTGTAATCTAATGTCTTTACCAAATATGTCAAGGTTGCTGAGCAGCTCCAACAGATGTTTGTTTTCTGTATCAATAAAAATTACCGGGTTTTTATTGATACAAAAAGCAATTTTTAGAATTTTAATGAAACCCAAATATATGAAATTGGTTTTATATATATATATATTTTTTTTCTCTAAGATTTGACAACAAAAAAATATTAAGCACTAATTATTAGCAAGGATATATACATTTCTTTTTCAATAGAAATCTATCATTGAAATGAGAAGAAACAAAACAAAATGAAAGAAAAGTAAAAAAAAAACAAAGTGATCAATACTCAACCATGCTCCTGTAATTTCTAGGTCAAGGAATTTGTATTTTATTTTTATATCATGTCACCCCAAATAAATGATAATGCCACTAGGATGAAATAGGTCAGGAAGAGTGAAAATGAATAAGTCATTAGTGAGTAAAAAGGACAATAAAAGTATGGTAATCAAGATAGAAGATGGCGATTGGCATTTCATTTAAAGTTTTGAAAATTGTAGGCAGCAAGAAATCGGAAGGGAGTTCCACAGGCAAGAAGTAGAAGAAAAAGAATTATTAGAATCGTACATATGGTTGCATCTTGCTAGTTCAGCAGTAAAACTTAGTTGCCAATCTAGTAGCATGCCTAAATTCATGCAGTCAGGGCACCAAAGGAAAGCTGATCTGAACAATTGCCATGAAAATGTTTGTAGAAAAGACTCGTCACATAGGTGAGAAAGTGACTGAAGCCTTGATGTCAGATCAGTATCGATTACATTACAGATACTTCTTTGGAATTTTGTCAAGAACCTTGAGATGAATAACAGGAGCACCAGACCAAATATGGTAGCAGTATTCTATGCACAGACAAATGGTAGATTTATAAATATGCAAGTGGGATTCTGATGAGAATAATTGTTTGCCATGACAGTGAACCAAGTTTCCTAACCGTAGACCTAGCAATTCATTTGACATAATCACTAAACTTCATGGCAGAAAAAAAAGAAATATATATTAGCTTAAAAGTCACCCTATTGGGCAGCATTTAAGCTAGTTCCTGTCGAGGGCTCTTAATTGGGCCTTCATCGCAATAGGTAAGGAAGAGTAGATGTGATAGGCAACAATAAACTAGAGAACTCCGAATTGATCGCTGCATTTAAGTATTACATTAATATTTAAACTTACCTTTTAAAAGTTCAACAATAATTCTTCTTCTGCCACCACTTAATTTAAAGACAATTTGATGTATGTAGGTCCTTACTTTCCGCACAAACAATTATTTTTATTTCATGGCTGACTTTCGTTGGATTTTGCAATTTATTTCCAAGTTATAAAATTTGTTATTGTACAAAAAAATTTGTTGCAAAGAATCCCGTAAGAAAAATCACCAAAATCAATCACAATATTGAAAACATGGGAATCCACAATTTCAGGATTGTGGGTCCAGATCCAGCCCAGAATGTTTTTAATTTGCTCACAGAGTTGTCCTGGTTCGAAAATGGTATGATATGTTGGGCTACAGCCTCTATAAGTAAAGTTGAATAAGTGTGACAGTGACATTCACACACACACACCCACATATATATATATATATATATATATATATATATATATATATATATATATATATATATATTTCAATTATAGGTGCAGTTCAATTTATAATTACATGAATCATTCGTACAAAAAAACAAATATAGAGGTTAATGATTTAAATGTATTTAATGATTTAAGATGTATTCTCACCATTTAAATCATTAACGTCTGTATTTTTTTGTATGAATGATTCATGTAATTATATACACACACACACACACACACATATATATATATATATATATATATATATAATTATTTATTTAAAAATATGATTCCAACTCGTGACATAAGAGGTCTCATGTTTCAAAACAATAGCCGAAAACTTCAATGTAATTATTTGAATTAAATTGAGTTAAAGTAAGCTCTGTTCCATCTTCAAGCAAAATATTTTTTGGAATAACATATTTCTGAAATTTACGTGTTTTAATAATTGAAATCAAAATTCCCATGGTAACAGCTAGGGCGAATTGTTTAAATTGGGTAGGTGTGTGTTGGGTGTTAATAATAAGTATCAATATAGAGTTACTTTCAACACAGGTATTTATTAACATACGTGTGTGTGTGTGTGTGTGTGTATATATATATATATATATATATATACACACACACACACATATGTTAATAGATACCTGTGTTGAAATAGACACCCTTTTTTATTTTAAATAGTGTGTATTACGTCTATCACTCAAGAACTCTTAATAAAGAGAATGTACTCTCTGAACATGTTTCCTCGTTTGTAGAAGAAACTTCCATTTGATCCAGCATACTTTAGATCGTTTGGTTACAGAGAGCATCACAGCCCAGAAAGGTTCTATTTTTTTTTTTCTTTTAACCTTGCCGGGCTCTGGCTGTCTCCATAGTTGAGCGGTTTAAAGCACACCACATCACACAGCGGTTTCTCCTACAAGTTGCGGTTTTGTGCTGGGGAATACATTTTCTTTACTAATATTTCTTGAGTGTGCAGGCTAACAGATGTAATACTCACTTTTTAAAATAAAAATAGTGTCCACTTCAAACACAGTTATCCCCTAAAATAATGTTTGAAGCAATAAAAATGTTGGATTAAAAATAAATCCATTAATTCTTTAGAAATTTATAGAATAATTAAAAAATTAAAGTGCATGATTAAAAATGAGGAAATTTGTAGCTGACACATGCCACACAAGTTGATACCCAATCAGTATCACTGCGGAAAGTGAGTATGATGTTGAAAGACCCGAAACTCTTAATGAACCTGTTGTAACCTAGAGAAGGTTACTGAATAGAATAATCACACGAAGGTTGGTAATGAATGATAATACTTAGGACAAGAACAACACATATAAGATTCACCAGTGGCTCGTAGAAGAAGTAGTCAACTGCTAGAAATGAGTCAAGTGAATTCCACAATGAATCTCCAACTGCAGACCAACATACAGTATTTACTACTGTATTTATATGAATGGAGACATGCCCATTATCGTCCATAGGTATACTGCAAGAGAACCTCAGCTAAAAACATTACTGATGATGTGTGCTAAAGCATCAGACAGATGTATTTCACAAAAGGTATAACGATATATAAATTTTTATATATCAAGAACAATTTTTGGGGAAAGATGTATGACAAAATGGAAAGGTCTTTTGTGTAACATATTTCATCCTTTAGGACTTCATCAGACTAAGTTTCTTTAGTGTAGTCACATCAAACAAACTTAGTCTGATGAAGTCCTAAAAACGAAAATGTGTCATACAAAAATTTTTCCACTTTTAAAAATATATATATATATATATATATATATATATATATATATATATATATATATAAATAAATCAAATGGCTAGACATAAGCAAGGGTATACATGTGTGCTGGTGAGCATATGCAGTCAAGCAAATAAATAATCGTCAAATTTATACATGAGGTGTAAACATAATAGTGCTCGATATGGTTATAAAGAGCAAAGATATATATTAATTAATACATATACATGTACCTACATGTTGGTGTACAGATAAGGTTTCACTGGATTATCAGCTCGTCAGGCACAAGATCTATGTTGTTAAACAAAAGACTGTATTTACATTGTTTTATGAATGCGTGTAATTTCCCAGCAGTCAGCTAAAGGGAGTTGTGATATTGCAACTACAGATAATTTTTTTGTTGACATAACTGTTCATATATTTTTTATGTTACTTAATTTATTTTAAAATCGTGAGTCTATTGCAATAAGTTACTAGATAAATATGTGAAATGTTAATAATTAATTATGCAAAAGGTGTGAGTAATCAGTTGTGCACAATCACAATGAACCCTGGTCAAAAGTTTATGGAAAATCTGAATACAACCTTTTGAATTTATGCAATTGAATTTATAACAGAGAATAGGCTCCTGGAAGCTGAAAGTTAGAATTACTAAACTCTGAGGTTTTTTGATTAATAAATATTTTTCCCAATTTTTAAATATCTATTTTTAGAAGGGAAAATATTGCTAATGATTTTTTGGAGTGATCTCACAAATTTAATAGACAACAAACATGGTTGTCTGAAATTTTAAAGCCTTAAGAGCATATGATATAAGGTTAATAAATGTGAATGTCGAAATTCAAATCTGGAGCTGATATTTTTTTCTTTTTCTTTTTTTTTTTAAGCATTTCACCCCAAGCCACTAGGACGCAAGGGGTTACAGAAAATATAGAGCGAGATCAAATAGGAGTGATAGAAGAGGGTATGAGGAGAAGGGTAGTGGATAGATCAAGGCAACTGGAGATGTCGATTGACATTACACTTGAATAGCTGGGGATTATAGCTCTCAGGGAAACTGGAATAGAGATGGGAGTTCCACAGGCGAGAGGTGCGAGACATGAAGCTATTAGAGTAGAAGAGATGGCTACATTTAGGAGTTTCGACAGTGAATGGGTGAGAGCAGGATACATCACGGGAGAAACAGAGCTGTACTAATACAGAGGACAGAGAGAGAAAGAGTACCGGGAACCCCTTCCTAAACAAGAAACAAGCTGTAAGCCTCTACTCATGTCCAAGAGAAGGGAGAGGAGTGCTGACCAGGCGGTAGGAAAGACACAAAAATGAGTCAACTGAGATTCTTAGTGATGCTATGTAAATCTATTGAATATTTCTACAATTTTTAATGGGGTTCCACACATATCCATTAGACAACCAGGGCTTCTTTCTTCATGAACCTTTATTTCTCTAACCATTCTCCTATAATGCAACCCACTTCCCCCTTTCACCTAATAAATTCCACTTGTCTTCAGTTTCTCCTTCCAGAGTGACCTGCTGGCTGGAAGGAAGGTAACTCATTTTTTTTTTTTATTCTGGTCTCCTCCTTTGTGCTTTCTTCACATCACAAAATCCAAAACTGAACTGATCAGTCTCATGCCATTATTTTTTTTTCTTTGCTTTCTTTTGTTACAGGAGAGGATGAATAATCATTTTTATGACTCCAGATATTATGTTGGATCCAAATTTGTTTGAAATGATCATTAAAAACATCCCTTCCTAAATTTATAGACAAATAGTACAGATGCATGCTGGGATATCTTCCTAACCAATAAGATCGACCACTTCTTGGTCTCATTCACCATATTTTTGTTCATTCTTGTTTTGAAGTCAGAATACTGTGATCATTTGTCGATATACCATTTACAGGACAGGATGAATAATCATTTTTATGACTCCTGCTATTATGTTAGTTCCAATCCCTTTGGAATGATTGTTAAAAACAACTCATCCCCAGATTTATAGACATATCCTACAGATGCATGCTGGGATTTCTTCCTGGCAAATAAAACTGAACCAATTCTTGGTCACATCCACCATATTTGTGTTCTTTCTTGTCTTGAAGTCAAATGCTATAACAACTTGACTCTAACCTATTTGCATGTGAATACCATTCCTACTGTGTGAAATTTTTGGCTTATTACTATTGCTTTGCCTAGTTTTGACTTACATATATATTGTTCACTTAGTTTTGACTTACATATATATTGTTCGCTTAGTTTTGACTTGCATATATATTGTTCACTTAGTTTTGACTTACATATATATTGTTCACTTAGTTTTGACTTACATATATATTGTTCGCTTAGTTTTGACTTACATATATATTGTTCGCTTAGTTTTGACTTGCATATATATTGTTCACTTAGTTTTGACTTACATATATATTGTTAAGCTTAGTTTTTTACATATATATTGTTTTAGTTTTGAACATATATATTTTATTGTTTGCTTAGTATCATTTTGCCCAGTTCTTTTTCATATTGTTTATTGGAAACTTTGTGAATTTCATTTGTTGATACAAAGGTTGTTTTTTTTTTATCTTTATTTCCTATGACAGATACAGCTGATTTCACTGAAAATTTTGGCCCACATATCAACAAGCAGTGACTGGAATCGACATAGAATAATTCAAGTAATTTTATCTTTTCTAATGAATTCATAAAGTTAATGTTAAACTTAAACACGTTCCTGAAAATTCAGGTACAAATAAAATATATCCGTAAAGACAATATGCCATATATATACTTGTGTAATGTGTGATGTTTATTTTACATACAGCTGTACATTTTGACAACAGTAAATGGATATATAATTTATTCAACAGCATAGCCAGGGCCAGCAGTATATACACTAATTTTATATATCATGTATAATGCTACCCCCTTAAAATTAGCTTCAAAATTAGGTCTTCAAAAGTCACATGATATGCAGGTATATACGGTAAATAAGAGAAAAACATTTAAAGTTTTCCTTTTGTCTTTTCTTATATATATATATATATATATATATATATATATATATATATACATACATACACACACCCACGCCCACACACAGGGCATATCAAAAATACTTTTACAAACTTTGGGGGCAGGTTCCTCACACTAAACATGTCTGCAAATCTGGCCAGTCTTGATACAGCCGTGCAGCCTCATATCCATTACCATTTGCGTGGTTGTATGTAAAAAACACATCTACCTGCTCACAATATGAATATCCTGCCAATTGTTAAACAGAACACTTCTCAGTTAACACACTACTACATAAGTTAAACACCGAAGACAGACTAGCTACAAATGTACATGAATGACAAATGTAACCTAGTCTATATGGCAACACTGTGCCATATATCTTAAACTTTCTTTAAACTTAACTCAAAACTGAAGGATTTTCAGACATATGTCTATGTGGACTTTTGTCCTTGTTTTGAAGTGGGAAATCACCCCCCATAAAGTTTGTAAAAGTATTTTTGATACGCTCTGTTTATGATAAAATAAATAACAAACAGGAAACGTCTCTCAATCTAACATGTTTCACTTTTATTAAAGCTTCATCAGAGATTCAGAGAAAACTGACAAAAAGGCAGAACTTTGGTATTTTTCAATTTTGTTTGCATCTCCCCCTACTAGATAGACACATGCACACAATTACAAAAGCACATTATCATCTGATGCCCGCTAAGACATAGCAGAATCTTTACAAACTTACATGCATATAGAATTATCTACAATTTTAATGCACGTGATACATGACTGACCAATGAGAATCAAACCAAACAAAATTGAAAAATGCCAAAGTTCTGTCTTTTTCTCTGTTTTCACTTAATCTCTGATAAAGATTTAATAAAAGGTAAACATGATATATATATGTTTTCTATTTGTTCTTTATCTTATAATCCTATCGGATTCTGATCCATATTTGATCTGCACGTGATCTTTAACTCTTATATATATGTGTGTGTGTGTGTAATGTATTGTGTATATGAGCAGCAATTTTGCATTTATATTTTTTTTTAGTTTTGTTTAATAATTTCACTCCAAGCAAGGCAATAAAGCCACTAAGATACAAGGTCTTACAGAAAGAATATGTGTAAAAGAAAAACTTTATTGCGGCAAGAGAACAATAGATAAAAGGAATCAGGAAGGCAGTAGATGACAATTGACATTGAATTTCAACTTCTGAAGATCAAAGTTGACAGGAAAGCAAGAAGTCAGAAGAGAGTTCCACAAGCGAGAAGTGCGATAGGAGAAACTGTTAGCATAGAACTTATTGTTACATTTAGCCATTTCAACTATAAAATGATGAGAGGTCTTGCTGTCAATCTAGTACTATGCTTAAATTCCTAAAGTCTAGGTACCATAGAGAAAAGTAATATTTATTTTGAAAAATACGAAAACATGGCACAAGGCCAAAAAGGGGGAGGGGGGAGGCTGGTCTTCAATCTGTCTTGTCTTAAACTTAGCTAGCAACAGTTACTGACCCAAACTTACCACTGTATTCCTTACACCAAAATAACACATTCTTACTTACCATTCTTACCACTGCCACCATAATTCCTCAAAGTTTCTATGAGGTCTTAACTAGATCCCATATGTACAGAGAGGAAATTTCATCAGAAGAATTACCATGAAAGTATTTATAGAAAATGAACATGGAATCTGCATTATGGTTGTGGGAAAATGACTTAAGCCGAGATGCCAGGTCAGGACCAATAATATTGCAGATTCTTCTTCAGATTTTATCAAGGATCTGTAAATATATAGCTGGAGCGCCAAACAATATGTTGCAGCAATATTCCAAACATAGTTGAAGGGTAGACTTATAAATATGAAAGATAGATTCTGGTGCCAAAAATTGTCTAGTCCGACACAGTGAACTAACCTTCCTCACAGCAGATATAGCAATTGATGCAATATGATGCAAATTGATGCAATATAATCTTTTCACTTCATTTCAGTGGAAAATATTAGCCTGAGAAGGTGCAACAAGTCACTCTACTGGACATTAGTATGAGTTTTACAGATTGAATAGATTAATAGAAAGCAGTTTTGTTTTGGAAGTATTGAAATTAACAAACGATTCCTTGCACCAGTTAACAAAAGAATGTCAGTAATTTTTTAGATCAGCTGCTAATTTGACCTTATCAAAACCAATCAGACTTATCATGACAGGGGTAAATAGAGGTGTCTTCAGTATAGATACCAAGTTGAGAACTGATTCTATCAGGAAATCCATGGATGAAAATTAGAAAAAGTGTAGGTCTAAGGATAGGTCTCTGGGAGATGCTTGCATTGATGCGAAAAGATCCAGAAGAGTGGCCATTCAAGGCAACTTTCATGTGCAAGATGGATTCTGGTAAGAAAAATTGTCTAGCATGACACAGGTAACCAACTTTCTTAGCTGCAGTCCTAGCAATTGATTCAATATAATCTTTCCACTTCATATCTGGGGAAAACTTTAGTCCAAGAAGGTGCAATGAATCAATCTTCAGGAGGTTGGTATCAGCCATTCTGATGGATGATAAAAACTGTTCTCTCAGATGATTAAAAAAGAGCAGTTTCATTTTGGAGGCATTACAATTAACAAGCCATTCCTTGCCCCAGTTAACAACAGAAAGTAGATCAGATTTTTTAGATCAGCTGTCAATTTACCCTATTCAAACTGAGCAGAGTTACTATTAAGACAGTAATAAATAATTTTACCATCAGCCTAGATAATGAGTTTAGAAATTATGCCATGAGAAGGGTTGTTGATGAAAATCAGGAACAACATGGGGCCTAGGATAAAGCACTGAGAGATGCCTGCATTAATGTAAAAAGATCTAGGTCATCCAGGATCACATTCAATTGTACCATAGAGGAAAGTTCACCAGAACAATTACTATCAAATATAGAAAAGACACAAGGAAGCTACATTACGACAAGGGGAAAATGGCTGAAGTACCTGCTCAGAACCAATAACCTTGCAGATTCTTCTTTGAATTTTATCAAGAATCTCTAAATGTATAGCAGGAGCACCAGACCAGATATAACAGCAGTATTCAAAGTAAGAATGAATGGTAGACTTATAAATATGTAAGATGGATTCTGGTGAGAAAAATTGTCTTGAATGACACAGGTAACCAACTTTCCTAGCTGCAGTCCTAGCAATTGATTCAATATAATCTTTCCACTTAATATCAGGGAAGAACTTTAGTCCAAGAAGGTGCAATGAATCAATCTTCAACAAGTTGGCATCAGCCATTCTGATGGATGATAAAAACTGTTCTCTCATATTGTTAAAAGAGATCACTTTTATATTGACGACTTTAAAATTAACAAGCCATTCTTTGCCCCAGTTAACAGCAGAAAGTAGATCATTCTTAAAAAGTAAATTTCTTTTACCACCAGTTATTTTTTTTGCGTGAGGGGTGGGAATTGTTTGGCGGCATATCAACCTCTATAGGCTACTTAATGCAGAAATCTAAATATTTTGTGTTGTCACCTAGAAAGTGTTGCTGAATGAGGAATAACCAAAACGGAGGTTGGAAATGAAATGGTAATCTTTATAACATCAACAAAATACAATATTCGCCAGCAGCGTGAAGTAGATAAACCACTGCTAGTGGTGCACTACTTAGACAGCATATTACCCCCACTTACAATAGTGTCCAACATATTTATGAGGATTGGGACATACCCATTAATGTTCATGGGTACGGTATATAACACTCTCTAAGGCCCCCATCTATTTATCTATCTGTTGTATCCTAGAAAGGGTTACTGAATGAGGGATAAACAAAACGGAGGTTGGAAATGAAATGGTAATCTTTATAACATCAACAAAATACAATACTCGCCAGCAGCGTGAAGTAGGTAAACCACTGCTAGTGGTGGACTACTTAGCATATTACCCCCACTTACAACGTATTTATGAGGACTGGGACATACCCGTTAGTGTTCATAGGTACGGTATATAACATTTTGGATGTAATTTTATGCTTTCAACTGCAGATATTTTGTACATACCTTTACTCTGAAAGTATAAAATAATATTCTTTTTAGATATATATTTTGTAGATCATAAAATATATTGTTGGTAATTTTACTATAAAAATGTACTGTTCATTTTTGTTTGGGGTCTCACTATTTACCCAATATCTGGGACCCTAACAGGTGCTACCAACCTGGGCAGATGGCACAGCAGCAATTAAGAAGTAGTTCTATGCTCTTCAAAAGTTCCAATCTCCCATTCAAGGGTCAAACTGCCAGATGCAGTTTATCGTCATACCCAGGATGAAGGAATGGATATCACCAATTATCACGAGATGAGTGAATTGTATACCCAACTATTAACTGATGTTCTAACCCAGGTTTGCACAAAAATGTGACCCACAGCCTGAAAGACTTCAAAGTATGGATCACAAGAGGTTTTCAAAAAAGTAAATTACTTATGTTCATCAGAATTAACTTGGTGGTTAATTGTGTACAAAGAATTCAGTTTTCACAAATTTTTTTTTTCAGGAAAATTCCATAGCTGACTATGACTTAAAAGAAGTTTTTAATAACCCCTTCACCAATGAGGAAATTCTCAGAACAGCAACTTGTCTCATGGCTAATTTGGCAGCCTGTTCCATAGACCAGGTAAGAATCTGTATTAGCATGATTAATAATAAGTTTCTGTATTAGTAGGCTTTGTAGTAAGTTTCTGTATTAGTAGGCTTTGTAGTAAGTTTCTGTATTAGTAGGCTTCGTAGTAAGTTTCTGTTTTAGTAGGCTTCGTAGTAAGTTTCTGTATTAGTAGGCTTCGTAGTAAGTTTCTGTATTAGTAGGTTTCATAGTGTTTCTGTATTAGTAGGCTTCGTAGTAAGTTTCTGTATTAGTAGGCTTTGTAGTAAGTTTCTGTATTAGTAGGCTTCGTAGTGTTTCTGTATTAGTAGGCTTCGTAGTAAGTTTCTGTTTTAGTAGGCTTCGTAGTAAGTTTCTGTATTAGTAAGTTTCTGTATTAGTAGGCTTCATAGTAAGTTTCTGTAATAGTAGGCTTCGTAGTAAGTTTCTCTATTAGTAGGGTCTTTAGTAAGAATCTGTATACACTTGACACCTTCCACAGACTTGCGAAGAATTTCTCCTACAATCAGTGGTTAAATGATATTGCTAAAATAATGAGTAACTCCAATTTAATATTCTTAAGGAAAACCACTGGGATTTTGTCTGGACTGGTGGCCTTCTTAGGGTCAAGACTTTTGATAAGTCTTGAGACTTCCCAGGCTGTAATCAAAATGTTACTTAGATTGTACACAGTGAAGAAGGGGATGTCGAGAAGGAGATGGCTTTTGTCATCTAACATGGAGTTATAGGTAAATATTGTGGCAAAGAGCTTTGCCTTATCTGACAAGGATATGATGACATTTATGATAGTAGGCACTGATGTTTTTTCTCTATTTAAAATTTGGTTGATCTTTCAGAACTCCCAGGATTCAAGTATTTTGCTTTTTGACTTTGGTCTGGATGGCTTGTGCATAGCAATGATTTCAAGCAGTTCTGAATTCAAAAAGTGACCTCCTACACCATTCCCTGTGTTAAATATTGTAGTAGTGGCTACGGTGAACTATGGCTACAACAACATATTCAGGGGTCGCTGTTCGGTTTTTGCTGGAATTTTTTCTGGTTTATAAAACTCTCTATTCCAGAAAGGATCCATTTTGAGACGAAGACAGCAGTTTTGGCTGTAGTATGTTTTGAAGAAAGCTGAGAGAAGAGCTTCAGTCCTATAAGATCTGAAGCTGTTCCAGTCATCTTATGTGTACCGAAAAACCATTCCGCAGAACTGTACATCAGGGGATACCTTTGCTTTCACACTGACGAGTAAATGGTCTGAAGTGCCTTGGAGGTGGTTGGGGAGGGTGCTTAACACTTCAGCAAAACATTTTCCAGAGCCAGATATGAGGAAGAGATCAAACAGGTTTGCTTGATATCCTGTTGCATCAGAAACAAGGGTGGTCTCTTCAATGACTATAAGGTCCTCAAATGACTCTCTGCAGGTTTTGAATTCAGAGTTGTCCTTCTCCTAGACCAGTTGCCATCCAAGGCTATAGAACCCAGTCTGTCCTGCTATTTACTCATAGCTGGAGGGAAAAGAAAAGAGGATTAATACCTTTCCCAAGGGTATTAGCACTTAAGTGAATGTAATAGATTTGACTGGAATTCAAACTCAAATCTCTGATTCCTCAATCCAAGCCACCATCCAATACTCCACCATGCCTCCTATATATATATATATATATATATATATATATATATATATATCAGAAGAAGAAGCTGAAAAATTCTTGACTCCATACATCTCCCAAAATTTGAGCAGGATTTTGTCACTGTAACTGGAAAGAGCATTTTTTTTAATGTTTGAAATATTTTTCAATTTACATTGTATCATTGACCGAACCATGTTAATGGAAAATGTAGAATTTTCAAGTGTTGAATTCAATCATGAAGTTTTAGTTTCAGCAAAAGAAAAATCCAAAGTGAATGCAGGAATGTATGATTCAAGTATTCAAGATTATACTCATCTGGGGACAAGTGGTGTGCCCACTACCGGGTGTGGACGTTTTGAGTATCCCAAGTTGCAACATGACCTAAGAGACCTTCAACAGTGTCAACTGAAATTGTAGATCCTGTTCATGTTCTAATTTTGTCTCATCAATTAATCTCTCACAAAAAAAAAAAAAATTACTGAGATAATAGAGATATCCATTGCAACAGACGTTTCTAATATATAATAATTCTAGGGGGATTAGTTTATTACTTAAAAACAATAGAAAACCAACCCCCCACTTTATATCCAGTAGAAAAATGTTAATGTTAGTTTACTCTTATTATAAACCTTTGTCAATGCGCAGGTGGTGTAATGGATAGCAGTTCCGACTTAGAAATCAGAGAGCCAAGTTCAAATCCTGGTCATGTTCACTACACTCACTTTTGCTCAAATATTCTTCAGAAAGGTGTGAATCAATTTTTCTACCCCTCCACCAGATATGAGCATGTGTGAAGATCTGCCTATATTTCTGAAATGAGAGTCTGCATTTCTGAGATGAGGTATTATGTACATCATTTACATTATTCGGACTATTGTCCTCATCTTTGTCACCATATTTATTACAACGTTTCAGCCATTGTACGCTCCGGCCTTCTTCAGGTGGTTGGAATTTCGAACTGAACCCTCTATTTCAATCACTGGGGTAGACTGTTCTAGTTCCACGTGCCATGTTTGATGGATGTCAGTTATCAGTTATCTCCTCAAGGACACATGGCACAGTGGATAAAGGCGTTGGTTAGATCCAATGACAGACCCAAAGAGTGTGAGTTCAATACCCGGTTAAGGCAGTGGAGAACTTTCAGAGGGAAAATTTGCCGAAACTTTGTGGCACATATGGCGACAAAGATGAGGACAATAGTCCGACTAATGTAAATACTGTAATCTAATGTCTTTACCAAATATGTCAAGGTTGCTGAGCAGCTCCAACAGATGTTTGAGGTGGTTGGAACTGACATCCATAAAACATGGCACGTGGAACTAGAACAGTCTACCCCAGTGAGCGAAATAAAGGTTTCAGTTCGACATTCCAACCACCTGAAGAAGGCCGGAGTGTACAACGGCCGAAACGTTGTAATAAATATGGCGACAAAGATGAGGACAACAGTCGGAATAATGTAAATAATGTTCTGAAATGAGGTATTTAACTATTTACACTGTTTACATGGTTCAAACTGTTGTCCTCATCTTTATTGTCATATTCCTCATGGGCCCACTGGATAAAACCATTAGTTGAAGGAATCCAGTAATGATCCAAAGAGTTCTGGCCACAGCAGTTGTGAACAAAAAAAACTTGGAGAGTCAAGTTACAAAAGGGAAATAACTGAAACTGAGATATCTGGAAGAGGCATGGCATGTGGAACTAGAACAATGTACCCCCCTGTGGACTAAATGAATGAAATTCTAAACAGCTGAAGAATGGATGAAATGTCGTGAATATGAAAACAAAGATGAGGACAACAATCCAAACAATGTAAATAGTGTAAACTGTGTGAAGATATATTTAGTTGTTGTTGTAGAGTAATTTTCACAGTGGACGCTTGTATTTCACTAAGTCCTTCCTAAAAGGGTCCGATGTACAAAACGTTAGTAACTTGAAATAATAGTTAATGACGCATCAATCTAGTTGTGGGCCTCATACTTTAATGTCCGACATCGACTGACTCACACAACTCACTGAGCTTAACTGGCGACTACTACTACTACTACTACTACTACTACTACTGTGGGAGAGTCTATTTACAATAGAAATAGGTATGTTCCAGTATAACAGTTGTCTAGATACCTTTATCTCAGGCCTTGTATTAATCCAGTTCAAATCCAATGAAATATCAAAGAATGACCTCTGAAATTGCATGATATCACTAATTTGCGGGTGGTGGGGGATCTATTCTGACGCTTTGGTCTCTATTAATATGTATCAACATTCAGTTTTTCTCTGTTCCATCTGCTGAAAAATGTAAAGATCTTCACCATTGTGCTCCCAAACTCGCAGTGCACACACAGTCCTAATCTACAAGTTAGCCAAGATTAAAATGAATACAACACCTGAATTCTTATTCTTTCTCCCTAGGTCCTAAATCTGAATCCAGGATACGCAACCTTTTTTTTTGCATCATTGCCCACTTTTCACACGGAAAAATTTTCCACCGCCGATGAAAGAAATTCAAAAGAAAAACAAAACAACAGAAATTAGTAATATTGATGAGACTAATAATGCTGCTTGTTTAAACCAAGATGAAAAAGACATTAAAAATCAAATTTTTTTCTAACTTCATTTTTTATTTCTTGGTGAGAAAGAACACAAGCATGTCTTAAAAAATTTTGATTTTTTAACATCTTTTTCATCGTGTCGAAAGGAATACTAATATACAAGCAGTATTATTAATCTCATTAATATTATTAATTCTTGTTATTTTTTTTTCTGCATGTCATGTTAGTGACACATTTTGACAATTTTGTGTGTATATTTCAATGGGTTCTGATGGTGCTGTGGTCAGATAGGTGTAATGTAAGTCATCTGGATAGGCATTGCAGTAATGTGACTGATGCAAACATCCATGAGTTCAACAAGTTCAAATGCTTCTTAAAGAACTGAGTTCCTGATTGGGCTAAACTCATGGATGATTGCATCAATCACGATGCTGCATGTCTGTTTACATATGGACAAAAACAACTTGCTCACTACAAAGATGCATTCTTGTTAAGCATTTTTTGTTCTCACTAGTTGAAATGCAGCCACATCGAAACAAGAATGCATCTTTGTAGTAAGTTGTTTTTGTCCAGATGTAAAAATTACAATAATTAATTATTGCTCTGTTCTTGGTATGGAACCCTCTTTTGGATTGATGCTGTGAACATTAGAATTTATATATTATTTTCGTTCTCATTACATTTGGAGATATATGTGTGTGCATGAAGATATACAGGATAACACTTGTCATCAGAAGAGTCCGCTATTTAGAAAAAGGTGGTGGGGGAACTCTGTATGGACTCTTTTTGGTGATGTCACTAAAATAGAATTATTTATTTTATTTTAAAATTATTTTTAAGTTAAAAATTACTGCTCTGCTCTTGGTATAGAATTGATGAAAATTTAAGAATTATTTTAAAAAATTACTGCTCTGCTCTTGGTATGGAACCTCTTTTGGATTGATGCTGTGAAAATTATAGAATTATTTTTAAGTTAAAAATTACTGCTCTGCTCTTGGTATGGAGCCCTCTTTTGGATTGATGCTGTGAAAATTATAGAATTATTTTTAAGTTAAAAATTACTGCTCTGCTCTTGGTATGGAGCCCTCTTTTGGATTGATGCTGTGAAAATTATAGAATTATTTTTAAGTTAAAAATTACTGCTCTGCTCTTGGTATGGAGCCCTCTTTTGGATTGATGCTGTGAAAATTATAGAATTATTTTTAAGTTAAAAATTACTGCTCTGCTCTTGGTATGGAGTTTAAAAATTACTGCTCCTCTTTTGGATTGATGATGCTGAAAATTATAGAATTATTTTTAAGTTAAAAATTACTGCTCTGCTCTTGGTATGGAGCCCTCTTTTGGATTGATGCTGTGAAAATTATAGAATTATTTTTAAGTTAAAAATTACTGAAAGCCAAGTTTGTTTTTTGTTTGTTATTTATATCGCCTTCTTGTGATAAACAAAAAAAATAATGTTTTTCAATTAACTCTATTTTTGATTTGGACTTTTATTCTTTCAGAACGGACTCCTGACCTTTCAAAACAGTTTGTGTTCTCTCATATCTGAAGACCATAACAACAAAGTACTCTGCAATATCATGCGGGGAATTGCAAATTTTGCAAAGTTTAAACTGAATGCTCCTATTCTGGTAAGTGAAAAAAACATTGATATATATATAAGGAGGCACAGTGGAGTAATGGATAGCAGCTTGGATTGAGGAATCGGAGAGCCAAGTTCAAATTCCAATCGAATCCATTACATTCACTTACGTGCTAATACCCTTGGGAAAGGTAATGATCCTCTTCTTCTCATTCCAGCTATAAGCAAATAGTAAGACAGACTGGATTCTATAGCCTTGGATGGCAACTGGTCTAGGAGAAGGACAACTTTGAATTCAAAAACTGCGGAGGGTTGTTTGGGGACCTTGTGGCACGTAGTGCACCAGGTCTCTGTATTCGGCCCTTCAAAAAGTGTGGTTGGTTCTGCACAAAGCCTTCACCACTATAATCAAATCATATGTGCTGGTGTCTAGGCTGTCGGTTCCTAGGAACTGAGCTGCTTGACCCTCATACATCGAATATGACAGGAGAGTCCACCATACATATATATATATATATATATATATTTTAATTAATTCATCGAGTCTGATAGAAACCTCTACAGAATGCAGGAAGCACTGGACGGCCGTTTCGTCCTATATTTGGGACTCATCAGCAGTGCACATCCACTACCGAGTATCGAACCCTGACAGTTGGGTTGTCAAGCGAACACCATATCAACTGTTCCAATGGGCCTCGGTGACGAAGAGATTCCAAATCAGACTCAACTAAAGCGCGCTCGCTCACATATTCCGTGGCGGAACTCAACTGAGTTCTCTGTGACCATAGGACTGTGCCCCGGGAGCCACGACTACTCTCACCAAGCCGCTACCAACTGGAGCATTAGAAGCCTGTTCAAGCGAAGATAAACACAGATAGTAATTAGTAGGAGGAGGATTTGATAATGATATTTAATTAATTCATCGAGTCTGATATAACCCTGACAGAATTGGGCACTGTCAAGGTTTATATCCTATATGGGACTCATCCAAGTGGGCATCCACTGACGAAGTTCGAACCTGACAGTGGATGTTTGTCAAGTGAACAGTATCAAATGTTCCAAATTTAAACAGTGACTAAGTTCGATGCTCGGTAGGTAGTGGATGCAAATATAGACGTAGAGGTTTCTATCAGACCTGATGAATTAATTAAAATATCATTATCAAATCCTCCTACTAATTACTATATATATATATATATATATGATTTTTGTTTTTGTTTTTGTTATTGGTATCACCTCAAGTAAGGCAGTAAAACCACTAAAATGCAATGGGTTACAGGTTGTGGAATAATTAAGAACAGAAACATTGATTATCAGGGTGAGAATAGATTAATCATAGTGTGGCAAAAGTAACAACTTTTTTTATTTACTTTTATTGAGAAAAAATAAATTACAGTAGTTTAAGAAAATTTAAAATTATTTTCACATCAAAACAGTACGATTTGTTATGATTAACAAACTTTTTAACATGTTCAAAATGCGCCCCCCCTCGTCATGCACAATACAATGGTGAACCCTATCAGCAACACAGTTTCAACAATAAATATAATTACAACTGATACTTGCATTTATATTTTCCTCTCCCTCCTACACATATATAATTCCATTACTAAAAAAACATCACTTTAGTCTGGTGAAGCCTTCTAGAGAATGAAATATGTTACACAGAATTTTTTCTTGTCATCCAATTGCTCATTTATATATATATATATATATATATATATATATATATATATATATATATATATATATATATATATTTAAGTTATGAAAAACTTGATAATCCGTATGGGTAGTCCCAAGGAAATAAAATAAATTATATATATATATATATATATATATATAGTGAAATATTATTATATATATAAATAAATTATTATAATGGAACCTTAAAATGGTGTGTTTTAATTTTTGATATATATATATATAGAGAGACAATTTTTGAGGAAGATAAGACAAACGTATTTTTAAATATACTTGACACATATACATATTTATCTGAAGATGTTATAAAAATATTCATTATTCAGCACCTAATGAAAAAAATGTAACTGCATGAAACTCAAATCATTCTATCAACAGGATATTAATTTATTTCACTAAATATATATATATATATATATATAATATAAATATAAAATTTGAAATATCAAATATATATAGAAATAAATAAGTCTGTTTCAAAATATGCAAACATTATAATTTTTAATTTGAAATTTTTTCTATATTTATATATATACATATATATATATATATATATATATATGAAATTATTATTATTTATAGTGAAATCGCTTTATTCATTTATTTGGGAAAAGTTATATTGCTCGTTTTTATTTATTTTTTATTTTATTATTTTATTTATTTATTTTTTTTTTTTTTTTTTAAGAGAAGATTTATTTATTTATTTATGCACGTAAATATACTTTTATATCACATTTAACAGTTTTGTTTTGGTTTGAGATTTAATTAAAGCTATTCATTATTTTGGGGTTGGTTGTTGTAACTATTCATTGAAATTTCAAAATATATATATATATATATATATATGTGGATATATATATATATAATATATATATATATATATGTGTGTGTGTGTGTGTGTAGGTATGTAGAAAAATAGGAAAAACACATTAGGTAAATAATCCAGGGTTCTTCAGTATTTTTGTTTTTTTTTTAAAAACAGTGCTCCATACAAGTAGTGCTTAGATTATAATTATGTTTTAAAAATATGATTCCTTCGCTACATAAGAGTTCTCATGTTTGAAAAACGGGAGCCAAAACCATCAATATAATTATTAAAATTAAATTGAATTAAAGTAACAAGCCCTGTTTCATCCTCAAGCAAAAAAATTTAAAGATGAGAACTCTTATGAAGCGAAGAAGGAATCATATTTTTTTAAAATATATATATATATATAAATTATATAAAAAATGAAATATATATACTCCTAATTTAGCTTGTCATTAAAAATGTTTAATAAAAAAGATGAAATTTTTTCCCCATTTTTATTGGCCAGGAATTTTTCGCTCCTCAGGATTGAGTTTCCCTTCTATGCTTATAATAAATATATTGACTCCCTTTTGTGGATCGGTTTTTAATATTTTAAAAGATGATTTTTTTTTAGATTCAATTATTTTCTTTTTATACATTGAAAAATATTGACAATTGCTTGATAACGGAATTTATCCCAAGGAGTGAAATGGCCATAAAAATGGGGTATAATTGAGTTTCATTTTTATGTAATTCACTTCTATGCTCTATAATAAATATATTGAGCTCCCTTTTGTGGATCGGTTTTAATATTTTATATTAATAGGATTCACTTTTTTTTTCTTTTTATACATTGAAAAAATATGAGCAATAAATTGCTGATACCCACTAAAAAGTGGACAGATAGGTCTGCCTATGAAACTCTGGAGTCGTGATGCTGAACATATCATCACTCAGCTAAATCACAATCTGCAAAAATTCTTCATCTTTTAAGTCAGTTGTTCTTAGTTTAATTTGTAATGTATATACATGTAGGCAGACAAAAAATAGCAAATATTGGTAGGATAGTGAGAACCACAAAGCCCAGCCTAGGGACTACAGTCAGGCTTGCCACCCACCAATCAGCATGTTCAGCCCTGTGTATATGAATGTTCTGAAGCCATCTTATTTTTTCCTTAGTTTTTATAATCTATACTTTGGTATTTATACTTACTCTCTGTGTGCCCCTTCCAGATACAGGTCTTTCCAGAAATTATAGAAAAAGGGCTGATGTCCAATCATGATGATATTAGAATACAAGCAGCACGTGTGACAGCCTTCCTGCTTGCATATATGCCAGAACAGACAATTGAACACTTGATGAGGTAAGATATAAAAATTTCTTTTTGTTTTAAAAATACAAGGTGCAGAGAATTCCAAAGAGAACAGGATTTTTCATTTTTTTCTAATATATATATATATATATATATATATATATATACACACACACACACACACACACATATATATATTTGTGTACTAGCAGCATGGCCCGGCGTTGCCTGTGCTTGATTCAAAAAATCGTCGACTCATACAGCAATCGCTATGACTTGACTTAAAATATTTTTGCCCTTCTTTTGCCTTTAAAGGAGTGCCCTTTGCGTACTGATTTTGCTATATGCCTTACTTCTTGCCCTATCTCACACTGCAAATTTTTTCTAAGCTCTATACTAAACATTAAATCTATTGAAAAAAAGAACTAAACAAAATGAACACGAAATGATCAGCTTTAAAAAAGGACTTGTAACTGGAAAAACCAAATGAAAAAAGAATGTTAACAACAAATACTTTTTCACACCCAACCCAGTTCTGAGGAATCAGAATTAATGTTGGGTTTCAGCAAACGAATGAGCCAATTGGAGTAAAGTGCCATGCAGATTTAAATTTTTCCCACTTGTGACGAATGCAGCTATCGATTTTTTTTGCATGCTAGTTAACATTCATGTCAGTAGGCTGTTGGCTCTCATGCTGCGTCAGTGGTGGTGGTGGTGTCACAAACAATTTATTTAAATAAATTTTTTGTGACACCAGTCCCATTATTTTTCAGGCAGACCTTGTATATTTTTTTTTTTTTTTTTTTTTTGATAATTAGGAAACTTTGGTTGTTTCTTTATTAAAAAGAAAATTTGGCAGTATAATAACCAGTAGTATAGGTCAGGGTTCAGAGCACCCAGGACTCTATTTAAACTATTGCACGTCCATGAGCTGTTATGAATTCTAATTTCATACATATTTTCTTGAATTAATTAAATTTTTTTGAACCCCTAAAAATTTAGCACCCAACACGATCGCGCTTCTCTCCACACCCACACTACACCACTGCTAATGGAATATTGTGTCCATTTTGTTTGCAGAATGCCAAAATGTACAAAGTGGATCCCTAATTTGTGGTCTGTCGAAACCAAAAAAGACAGAATCTGCATTTTTCTTGATTTCATTTCTTTGCCATTTCTTGGCTGATCACCAAATTTACGCAACATTGTGCCTGGACAGTACCAAGATGGGTGTCCCCTTGAGAATACCAGGTTACTGTAAGCTTAGATGTGCAAGTGGTATAATTAATAAGGGAAGAATGGGAAGTTGTAAAGCCAAGTTTCAATACCAGTCGGGTTCATTGCATTGGCTTATGTGTAAATAAACTTGGGAAAGGTTTGAATCCACATCTTCACTTCCCCCCCCCATCTATAGGTTCAAATAGTAAGTATCTGAAAAATGATTATTATCTCCAAGAAATTGTTAATAGAATATGCACTCACAAAAAAAAAACAAAAAAAAACAACTTTGCTTACAATCTCAAAATATGCGTCGGCTTTAAATAACCTACAAAAGGTTGATAAGGCCCCCCCCACAAAAATAATCAGTAATTTAATTTCCTTAGCAATCTTTTTCCCATGCTCTACCTCTTCATCTCTTGATTTTCTTTTTCTTCTATGTGTTACTTTACATTTCTCCTCAACTCTCTCTCTCTCATTTCTCTGCTTTCTCAAACACTCTCACCTTCCCTGCATTCTCCCATGCTCTCTCCCTACTTTACTACTTTTTCCTGTCTCTCTCTATTTACTCTTTTCCCATTTCTGTCTCTCTCTCCTTCACTACTTTCTCCCATCCTCACAGTCTCTCCCTCTCCTTCATTAATTCTCTCTCCCTCTCAGTCCCGTCCTGCTTTCTGCCTCTCTCTCTTCCCATCCTCCCATTCTCTGTCTCTCTCCTTCATTAATTTCTCCCCTTCTCACAGTCTCTCTCTCTCTCTCCCTTCTCACTGTCTCTCTTTCTCCCATCCCATTCTCACTGTCTCTCTCTCTCTCTATCCTTCATTACTTTCTCCCATTCTCACTGTCTCTCTCTCCTTCACTGCTTTCTCCCATTCTCACTGTCTCTCTCTCTCTCTCCGTCACTGCTTTTTCCCATTCTCACTGTCTCTCTCTCTCTCTATCCTTCATTACTTTCTCCCATTCTCTCCTCACTCTCTCTCTCTCTCTCTATCCTTCATTACTTTCTCCCATTCTCACAGTCTCTCCCTCTCCTTCATTACTTTCTCCCCTTCTCACAGTCTCCCTCTCTCTCTTCCACTGCTTTCTCCCATCCTCACAGTCTCTCTCTCTCTCTCTCTCCCATTCTCACTGTCTCTCTCTCTCTCTCCTTTCTCCCATTCTCACTGTCTCTCTCCTCTCCTTCTCTTTCTCCCTTCTCTGTCTCTCTCCTTCACTGCTTTCTCCCATTCTCACTGTCTCTCTCTCTCTCTTTCTCCCCTTCCTCATCAGTCTCTCTCTCTCTTTCTCCCATTCTCACTGTCTCTCTCTCTCTATCCTTCATTACTTTCTCCCATTCTCACTGTCTCTCTCTCTCTCTATCCTTCATTACTTTCTCCCATTCTCACTGTCTCTCTCTCCTTCACTGCTTTCTCCCATTCTCACTGTCTCTCTCTCTCCTTCCGTCCCACTGTCTCTCTCTCCTTTTTTCCCATTCAGTCTCCTCTCTCTCTCTTTCTCCCTATCCTTCAATCTCTCCTTCACTTTTTCTCCCATTCTCACTGTCTCTCTCTCTCCTCCCATTCTTTCTCTCTCTCTCTCTCTCCATCTCTTTTCCCATTCTCACTGTCTCTCTCTCTCTCCTTCACTGCTTTCTCCCATTCTCACTGTCTCTCTCTCTCTCTCCGTCACTGCTTTTTCCCATTCTCACTGTCTCTCTCTCTGTCTCTCTCCTTCACTACATTCTCTCATTCTCTCTGACTCTCTTTTTCTCTCTCTCCTTTCCCCTCTCTCTCTCTCTCCCCTTCCTCCCTTCTCTCCTTGCTTTCTTTCATTCTTTCACCAACTGCCATTCCTCAGCTTAGCTTTCTCTCCTTTTTTTCTCTATCTCTCTCCCCTCACTTCTCCCAGCTTCTTCCCAATCTTTCTATTCCCCTCCCCTTGCCCATTTTCTCTCACTCTCTCTATCTTCCCAGCCCCTTCCTCCTGCTTTCTCTCATTCTCTCTCTCTCTTTACCTTCCGCTTTTTCAGTTGTCTCTCTCTCTCTCTCTCTCTCCTCTTCCCCATTTTTTCCTATTCACTCTCTTTCTCCTCCCTTCCCCAGGCTTTCTCCCACTTTCTCCTCCCCCTCTTCTCTCCCCCCCCTCACCCATCATTTTCTCTGCCCCCATCAATCTTCCTTCCAACATAAATGCTGCAATCATATTTTGATTATATCTCTTCAGAAAGTCAGTTTTTCTAATTAACAATTTGAATCCCAAAAATAATTTTTGTAGCAACAAAAAAAATTGAAAAGATAAACTTGGACATTTTTTTTCTCTCTATTTTAAATGCTGCCAAATATACTAATATTTTACAATTTTCAAAGAATTGGACAGCATTTTTCATTTTCTTTCAGGAATGGAGTTGCAGAATTCCTGACAAGTCTTTCATCACTGCCCCTATTGATTGGTTGCTTGGAAAACCTTTTTAATACATCTTGCCCTCAGCTGACCCCTCCTTCCTGATAGGGACCTGTTTGAAAGTTATCTGCATCTATACCCTACCACACCCTTTCAATGGACAGTGAATTTGATATAAACAAAATATTTGGTTCTGGTCTTCCTTGCCTTAGTAGTATAAATACCAACAGAATAATAAATTTTTAAATAAATTCATGCAGCCAAATTCTAGGACTGTGATAATAAACATTGAATAAAGATCACCCCTTCCCATAAAAAAAGGAAAAATGCCAATATTTACAGATCGTGGAACTTTTTTGTTAAATAAATCAGACACAACAGATGATGGCTTTTTAAGCTTTTATTTTACTACTGTATTTGTTGCAGGCAAATCTTCCAAACACACTGTATATTAAAAACAAAAAAATTAAACAAAACTGAAAAAAAATTAAATAAAACTGAAAACAAAAATAAAAAAACTGAAAGCAAAAAATTAAATAAAACTGAAAAAATTATACTAAAAAGAAAAACTGGAAAAATTAAGCTGAAAAGAAAGGAAAAAAACTGGATTAATTAAACTGAAAAAAAAACTGGAAAAATTCAATTGAAAAAATTAATCTGAAAAGAAAAAACTGGAAAAATTAAACTGAAAAGAAAAAAACTGGAAAAATTAAACTGAAAAGAAAAAAACTGGAAAAATTAAACTGAAAAAAAACTGGAAAAATTAAACTGAAAAGAAAAAACTGAAAAAATTAAACTGAAAAAAAGAAAAACTGAAAAAAAAGAAAAACTGAAAAAATTAAACTGAAAAGAAAAGAAAAACTGAAAAGATTAAACTGAAAAAAGAAAATATTGAAAAGATTAAACTGAAAAGAAAAAACTATAAAACTTAAATAAAACTAAAAGCAAAAAATTACATATTAAATTAAACTGAAAAATATTAAAAAGTAAAAAAAAGTAAAAACTGAAACAAAAATATTAAAAACACTAAACAAAACTAAAAAAAAAAAAAGATAGGGATAGCAGAATAGAGGTACAGCAATTTTCCAGCATCCTTTATTCCAGAACCCTGCTAGATCATCATCAGAAATCACATATACACAATTCATTAATTAACCTCTGACCTACTAATTATGCATCTCCTATATCTGAACAGTATCATCAACTATTAAAACCTTATATTTAGCTAGAATTAAAGACAATGCCACCAGTGGTCAGCCAAGGAATTAGTCTGGCAATATTTTTTAAAAAAATGAATATCATGGGTAGCAGAATCTAAGTATGTCACTGATGCTTCAACATCTTTGTTTCTGGAACTGTGCTGGATTAACCATTTTGCCAGACCACCAGTGCACATGTAATTCAATAAAACACCCTCTAACCTACACACCTCTTGCCTGTGTATTTGTACAGCACCAGCAGCTGTTAGAGAGTTACATTAAATTATTATTAAATAAAACACCGCATATGGATATATAACAGGGTGTCTGGGGGGTGTGGTCAGCTCTTTGTCACAGCACTCAATTACAATTGGTTGGTTTGCTGTACCAGGTGGATTGAGTAATTCGTCAGTGTCAGTCGATTATATCATACATGAGAACAAGTGCCAACAAGTCTGTTTGACTTCTCTGTCCTGCTTCTCTTGAGCAGAGATTAAGCATTTCCTAGTTCCACAAGTCTGTTTGACAGTGATCGTGAGTAGTTGGACCCAAATTTCATCATTGATTTCATTGATTTTTTTTTTGCAGGGGAACAATCTCCTGCAGAGCGTAGTAACCCTTTGCTTCTGGGTGCTGGTTACTGTCAAGTTGTTTGGTGGTTAGCTTAAGGGGGAGAAAGTTTGTTTGATAAACAAATCAAATACAGTATCTGACTATATTTATGAGATGAGGTACACTATTTACATTATTCGGACTATTGTCCTCATCTTTGTTGCCATATTTATGACAATGTTTCGGCCGTTGTACGCTCCGGCCTTCTTCCTTTATTTCGCTCACTGTGGTAGACTTTTCTAGTTCCACATGCCATGTCTAACGGATATCAGTTATCAGTTATCTCCTGTTAATTCCCCCCTACAAGTTCTCTACTGCCTTAACTCTTTTTGGGTCCTGTCATGCCTTTATCCTCAAGGACACATGACACAGTGGATAAAGGCGTTAGTTAGATCCAGTGACAGGACAAAAAATAAAAGAAAAAGAAAAGATAATGAGTTGTCCTCTACCCTTGCATGTTGAACAAAGCCTTTAATCATAATGTTGCTCTCTTTCTTCAAAATGAATCCTATCTTAGGTATGACGATAAACTTCATCCATGTCCTGGGTAAGACAATAAACTATATCCAACAGTAAAGCCTCTGATCAGGAGGTTTTGATGAGAGTAGAACTACCTCTTAATTGCTGGTGTTCCCAGGTCCACCCTAACTCAGGGTGGTAGCACCTGTTAGGGTCCCAGGTATGCACAAATAGTTCACCCCTAAAGTGGGGTCAAAACACTATGAAAGTGTAAAAATAGGTTTTAATACCAGAAATACTTTTTTGAAAAAATATTACCAGCAATGCAATCTTGAAAAAAAAAGTATTACCAGATATACATTTAAAAAAAAAAATTTTATCAGCAAAAAATTTTTAAAGAAAAAATATTATCAGCAATACATTTTTGGAAATAAAAATATTACCAGCTATACATTTAAAAAAAAAATATTACCAGCTATACATTTAAAAAAAAAAATATATTACCAGCAATAAATTTTTGAAGAAAAAATATTATTAGCAATAAATTTTTGAAAAAAATATTACCAGCTATACATTTAAAAAAAAAATATTACCAGCTATACATTTAAAAAAATATTACCAGCTATACATTTAAAAAAAAATATTACCAGCTATACATTTAAAAAAATATTACCATCTATACATTTAAAAAAATATTACCATCTATACATTAAAAAAAAATATTACCAGCTATACATTTCTAAAAAAAAAATATTACCAGCAATAAATTTTTGAAGAAAAAATATTATCAGCAATAAATTTTGGAATAAAAAACTATTACCAGCTATACATTTAAAAAAATATTACCATCTATACATTAAAAAAAAAATATTACCAGCTATACATTTAAAAAAAAATATATTACCAGCTATACATTTAAAAAAAAAATATATTACCAGCTATACATTAAAAAAAAATATTACCAGCTATACATTTAAAAAAAAATATTACCAGCTATACATTTAAAAAAAAATATTACCAGCTATACATTTAAAAAAAAAATATTACCAATAATAAATTTTTGAAGAAAAAATATTACCAGCAATAAATTTAGGAAAAAAAAAATATTACCAGCTATACATTTTAAAAAAAAATTTCATCAGCAAAAAATTTTTAAAGGAAAAATATTATCAGCAATAAATCTTTGAAAAAAAAAATATTACCAGCTATACATTTAAAAAAAAATATTACCAGCTATACATTTAAAAAAATATTACCATCTATACATTAAAAAAAAAATATTACCAGCTATACATTTAAAAAAAAAAATATTACCAGCTATGCATTTAAAAATATATTACCAGCAATAAATTTTTGAAGAAAAAATATTATCAGCAATAAATTTTGGAAAAAAAAATATTACCAGCTATACATTTAAAAAAATATTACCATCTATACATTTAAAAAAATATTACCATCTATACATTAAAAAAAAAAATATTACCAGCTATACATTTAAAAAAATATTACCATCTATACATTTAAAAAAATATTACCAGCTATACATTTAAAAAAAAAATATATTACCAGCTATACATTTAAAAAAAAAAATATTACCAGCTATACATTTAAAAAAAAATATTACCAGCTATACATTTAAAAAAAAAATATTACCAGCTATACATTTAAAAAAAAATATTACCATCTATACATTAAAAAAAAATATATTACCAGCTATACATTTAAAAAAAAATATATTACCAGCTATACATTTAAAAAAAAAAATATTACCAGCTATACATTTAAAAAAAAATATTACCAGCTATACATTTAAAAAAAAAATATTACCAATAATAAATTTTTGAAGAAAAAATATTACCAGCAATAAATTTAGGAAAAAAAAAATATTACCAGCTATACATTTTAAAAAAAAATTTCATCAGCAAAAAATTTTTAAAGGAAAAATATTATCAGCAATAAATCTTTGAAAAAAAAAATATTACCAGCTATACATTTAAAAAAAGGTGCAAGGGATAAATTGTCGTCTAAATGACGCAAAAATGAAAATAACACTGACATCTCATTTTAACAGATATATTTAACAAAATTGAAAAAGAATATCTTGAAATACTAAAGAATAAATTTATTCAATAAAATCGCAATTGGCTTCCATCATGGCTATGAGACAACTTCAGAATCTCCTGCAACTGTTCTGGACAGTCTCCTTGTTTAAGTTGGTGAATGTTGCCATAATCCTTGCCTTCAGTTCATCTTTGGTGTTACAAGGAGTTTTGTTGCTCTCTCACTCAACTGAACCCCACATATAATAATCAAGGGGGTTGCAATCTGGGGAGTTAGGTGGCTAGATGTAAGGTGGGATGTGGTCACAGAAATTGTCCGACATCCATGACTGGGTTCTCTTGTGTGCTATGGTGCAGAATCCTGTTGCTAGACATAGGGTCTTCCAGCACCTACCCTCTTGATCCAGGGTAGCACTACATCCTCAAGGCACTTCATGTAGGCCTCCATGTTGAGTGTGAGGCTATCACCAACAAATTCA